GAGCTGAATGCTGAAAGGAGCTTTTTTGGATCAAAAATAGCTCATTGACTAGTTTTAGGCTCTTAAGGCAAATTAAACTAAAAACTTCAGATCTGTAAATTTTCCCACAGAATCGAAAAAAGTCAAGACCTTTTCCTTGCTTACTTTTTATAAAGAGGCAAGCTTTCGGAAAGTCCAGTACTGAATAGTACTTAGATTTTGAAGTATGCTCTGTCCGTATTTCAACTAAAACAAAGGCACCCTGGATTTGGAGAAAAGGACCAAAAAATAAGAAATTTTCCTCTAAGTACAAAATTTATTTGCTGTTGGCATTCCTTTTGGTACCATTTAGTGTGCTTTCGCTTGTTTTGTACTTCGGATAAAATGTAATATGATGGAGCAGCTTTTATCATACTTTGCTTGAAAAAATAGGGCGTATGTCTCTTGTTCCTCTTTGTGAAACTTACAGGACTCCGAAAGCTGGCACTCGATACCAGCTGCAGCCGAACCATCCACCCCATTTCCAGAGTTTCATATATGTCTCCACATTATCATACTCTTCACCATTATTCGTTATATTTGCCAACACAGTGAACGGCTTCGTGGCTAAGATCGGATACGATTTGCGATCTATAAAAGCAGCTTTAGCACTTCTCTTCCTTTTAGCTTCAATTATCAGCAACAGTGATGCATGCCCGTTGCGGAATTTGGCAACAGTGTTGGCCGAACGCACACTTCGTTAGGAACACCTGGCTAGGCACTGTTCAAGAGAGGTTAGCAAGCCGACACATGTGTTTATCTCATTCTCTTCCTCACCGAAACCTCTAATTACCAACCTGTCATTGCCGGACGAAAAATTTGAAATAGCTGGCGGATCACTACAGGAGAGCCATCACTATTATGCTTTTTGCTATAAGCTATTGCGGGAGATGGAAATTTCAATATTCAGAAGTTGGAAGCTAAGAAGTGAGTCTAAAGTTGTTCTTGAGATCACAGATCAGGAAACAACGAGGTCTGAAAACAGATTTCGCGTGTTTTTTTGCC